ATTATAGTTTTTAATAATTTTGTCGTCTTATTTCTAGTTTAATTAAGTTTATTTAGGTAAACAATAGCTGTATTTTATGCTATGTTACAGAGATTCTCCCCAACTTAAAAAGGCTAATTTTCTTTCTTAAGTCACTTGTCAACAAACAATGTGTTTGTACTCACACTTTAATAATAACATCTAAGTAAGAATATTCTCAAATTTGAGTAACATGCCCCTCCTAATGATTGCAACTTCTTAGTACAAAGATCGCATTGAGCTGAACATTTAACTTGAAACAGTTTACAATATCTACTCATGTTCCTGTAATCACGAGAAGAACTTCCACAAATTAACATAAACATTCCAATGTGCCTCAGATATTCTTCACCAGCCACAAAAAATGAGTTCGTAGGCAAAAAGTTCTGTGTCACCAACGACCCAAATACTGAACAGATATAAGATGTCCCTGTAGACAAGTCAAATAGCTTCTTGCCTTTTATCAACTTACTGTTGATAAACCTTCTAACACCTCCATTGTCTGTTATAAAAATCAAGTTAATAACGTACTTTTGTAAAGCCTCTGGACACGAATCAGATTGAAACTTTTCAAAAATATATTCCGTTGCAAAATATTCAGCGAAAGATTTATGTATGAATTGAGGATTGTCTCCCACTATCCGTTGAATTATTCCTGATTTCTCCTCACCAGTCTTTACACTTTCAATAAATTCATGAACTTCATTTATTTCTTCTTCCGTAAACAAATCAGCTACTACAGTTTTAGATAAAATGTAATAAGCGCCGACCTTTTTGTGAATGTCTAAAAACGTTTTCCTTTCGTTTTCTACCATCCTCCTCATGGCAGGGTCCTTGAAGCACATAAAGTGCTTCTTTTCTCCGAAACGGATTTTGAAAAACTTCATTTCAACGAAAGTTTCGTATAGAAAAATTAAATTGAAAGTTTCCATAACTTTATGCATATAAAAATTTGAGAATTTCTTAATCATTGGATCATAAAAGTATCTGAAGAAATCTTGAAAGATTTCGGAAACCATATATAGATTGAGAGGCGAATTTGTAAACGACGATAAACTTAGAGCTATATTTATTATGTTAAAAAAATATAGTACATTATTTTTAATATGTTGTGAATCGCTGAGTCCCAATTTAACTGACCATATTTTTTCCAAAAATGAGAGTTGTTCTGTTCTTCCTAAAGGTAAAAGCGTAAAAGAAAATGTGCCCAGAACACTCTCCAACTGTTCAAGAACGTTATATGATCTTGAAGTAACCCACAAATGAGCTACATTTGACGATTTAAGAATGCGTAGCATATGTAAAACTTCATCTGCGTAGTCTGGGCATATTTCGTCAAAACCATCAAAAAGCAACGCAACTTGATTATTATTATAGAAGTGATTAAATAAGTTTATTTCTAGTAAATCAAGATCAACTAATTCTTTCTCATTATCAGAAGGTTGGAAGCATATTTTATTACTAGCATCCACGAGAATATTATCACAAAAAACCTGATCCCAATCATATTTTCTTTTAGTAGTTCCATCATCAACCTTATTCAGAAAAATTTTGTATAGAAACTTGACAACTTCTTCCATGTTAACGTCTGTTTTGTTTTGTTTCCATTTGCTAAACTGGTCAACGTGATCTAATAAATTAATTTTTGATACCCAAAGATTTGGGCACTTAAGTTTAGTTTGGATTGCTAGATGTGTTAAAAATGTAGATTTACCCATACCCGGTTCGGCATTGATAACTATTACCTTTTCTGCAATATCTTTTAACGTCTGTGGTTGAATTGGTTGATTTATACCATTTTCCTCAAAATCTCTCTCAATATATTTCAGCAGTCTCTCTAATTTTCCTCTTGTTTTCTTCCACACTATAGAATTAGAATTCTTGTTTGTGCCCACAAACCAATGAATATTGTAATTGTCAAATTCAGCACATAAATCATCGAACTCTTTTTCTGATTCAAGAATGGCAATAATATCTGTGGTTTCTTGAGGCAATTCGTAGCTTTTGAAGGTATTTGGAATAATGTACATCCCAGGCATATCTTCAATGTTTAATTTTAATGAGATATGACGACCTAGCCATTGGTTAATGTAAAAGTCACTTACGGTGGTGTATGACGGATTAGTTAAAGGCTGTCCTATCTGAATTTTAACATTATTAATAACTTTACGTAATGTATCTGTTTTAATTAAATGCCCCGATTCTTTATCGATGACCTCACCGATACTAAATTCTTCCCCTTGAAATATTATTTTTCTTGTAATAAATAACATTTCTCTACAAGCGGTAGTTAAATCATGAATATTATGTATTTTATCCTCGACGTGATCAACATTTTTTCCTATAACTGATTTGAGGTTTTCTCCAAGGGTTTCTGTTGTTATTATGATTATAATTCCCTTGAATTCACTTAATACTTCTTTCAATTTTTCAATTGACTTCTCTTGACCAATATTACCCTGACACACCACTATTAGTAATGGCATTTTAGTTTCATTTAATTCAGATTTCAAATCATCAAAATAATTTTTGAGTATCACGAAATCCAAATCAATGAACAAATAACGGTCATCCATGTTGAGTTCATTAAAATATTGAAATATTTTAATACATGTGAAATCTATTGCATTTGAATAAATGAGTTGAAGATGGCCGCTCTGTAAGAACTTTGAAAGGCCTAATGAATTAACTATATCTGGTTCGAAAGTGGCTCTTCCTTTCTTGATTTTTTCGCGGTAAATAGTATCCAAGAAACTAAGTAACGGTGTCTCGAGTATATCTTTTCCAGCTTCTTCATAAAACTTGCACGTCTTGGTTAAATACGTAGCTTGTTGAGTTTGTTGCCACCATTTCTGTACTTGGTCGTGTACTTTTAAGAAAATCGTTTCACATTTAATCCTAAAAAGAGATTTATTTATTGTCCTTCTAGTACGGAATAGCTTATCAATTTCTTCGACAATGACGCCTTCCATCTCATCTTCTTTGGGTTGATTGGTATAAAACGTAATTTTGCCCAAAAACTCTTTTACTTTTTTCTTTTCGTTTTCATCATAGACCAAAGTTAATTTTGGAAAATTAAAAATATCAATATCGAATCTGTAACAGCTAATGTCAACAAACCACTTTTGCAAGAAATCTAAGACTGCAATACTATCGACTGATAAATTCTGAGTGTTACAGTTGAACATCAAAAGCTTGGTTTCCTCATCATATATTAATAAGTTACCTACTAAGCCTGCTAATCCATTAAACCCAATGTCTGCTAGTTGCAATAGCTTATCTGGACCAAACATAAAATCGTCAATTTTGACAATCTTCAATTCGTCGTTTGTATCAACATAAGCATTCTCCAGAAGTATTTTAAGCTTAGAACAAAACGTATCTAAGTCATTTGTAGTTTCACTTCCATTTAAAGAAAATGTCACATTGCCAAAGTTTGGAGGTAGTTTAAAAAGCATTGTTTCTGCTGCAATTTGTTCAGACTTAGGTTTATTTTTGTTGGTTTTTTTTTATTTCCTTTAGCAAATTACTTTTCATGGAGAAAAGTTTTAGATCGTTAGATTTTAAGAAAGTTGGCCGAAATTTTCCAAGAGAATATGAGCTATTCGAATAATCTAATTCTAATACGTTATGCGCAAGAAAGGCCTGATATCGAATTAACAAATGATTTACCTTGCCATTCTGTAAGGTCATAGCACATAAAGACTGTATTAAAACCAAACCTGTTATAACTTGCATTGAATCAATTATGTTATTTAAATTGTTCTCATCGTAGTCAAATTGAAACATTTTCCCAGCTCTATCTATTGTGAGAAACCTAGTACTATCTGTATTATTTACAGTATGTTTTTTAAAAAAGTTCTCAAACGCAGTCGTAAAAGCAACAATTTCACAATCGTATTCAGCCAGTGATTTTGGCCATAAATTTTGGTAACCCACTAAATATGCATACAAACTTAAATCCCCTTTTAATTTGAGAATGCTGTCAACTGTAACTTTATCTTTTGCTGGATCATCCTTGTGTTGAACTTGAAGAAGTATTATTTTCCATTTTTCACAATTTTTCAGTTTATATTTTATATAAATACCATTCAACGAGGTCGGCAACATTTCTAAGTTGACGCCTAAGTAAAACTCTGTGATTTCATTGTCATGCAACGCTCTCAACAAGATAAGACTCAGAAGTTTTGTCTCATAAAGCTGACCACTGAGAGCTGAGGTTCCGCTTCTTTTGCAGTAAATCAATGGCATTGTTGTGTCTTTATTCGCCGCATCCGATTTTGTAGCACTATTTGGTGTATTAACTTGTTTTTGAATATTTCCACATTGTTCTTTCAACAGCGTCATAAAATACTCAGTAATGGCTAAACTTTTAGATGTGTTTATGATAGTAGCTATATCAATTGCTGTTTGTCCATTACTATTTGTCAAAGTAATACTTGCTCCTTTTTCTACGAGGAATTTCACAACTTCTATTTCTCCTTTTAATACTGCAACATGTAGTGGTGTATTGAATTTGTCATTGGCATCCGTGGCATTAATTTCAGCGCCTTGATTCAAATATTTACTCACTTTTTTCACCTTTTCCTCTTCTGCTTTATGTTTTCTAATAGCAGTAAATAGGAGTGCATTTTGCAGCAGTTGGTTTTCAAAATCTGCATTATTATCTGCCATTAGGACAATTCTACTTCTCAATATTTTGACAAATATTTATTTACTAATGTATGTACATTGACATATTTTTGCAATCGAAAACTGAAATAGAGAGAAATAATTAGATTAGTAAAAATACATTCATAATAAATCATTTTAATAAATGACTACCAAATAAATTTACCTAGTCGAGAAATGAACACTTGTTGATTATATTCTCATAAAGTTATTGAAATGGTTTAGGAAATGAGCAAATAAAAAACTAATATACGCAAGCATATATTACAATATTTCATATTTAATATTAAAATACAAAACTTAAACGTATTCTTTAGATAAAAGACATTATTTACACAAAAATGCATATTTGAAAAATACATGTCGGTATATCAGTCCTTTTCAATTTTTAAATAGAAATTAAAAGATAAACACACTTTATAAGTACAAAAAGACACGTGGAAAAATTATGTAGTTTGCAAGCAAAAGTAACAAAATTAATTTAAAACATTTAATGACGTTCGTTTTACATCATATCTTCCTGGGGCAAGGTCAGTAAGTACCTTCATTAAGGATATGACCCAGTGATACAATTTCACTTGAACTGAGGGAAAATAAATGTTATTTCATGCTCATATTATACTATCATCGACATTTTCAGCTTCCTCCGTTAAGAAACCAGTATTTAACTTACGATCTTTTGCTATACAAACTTCACAATATTTTCTACTACAATTTTTCTTAAACAAACATAAGTATTTAGTGACTGTCTCTCTAGGTAAAGCAGTGCTGATACAAATCAAAAAGTACGTTACAATTTGGTCTAAATAATCTTCAACGGTTATAACATTGGATGGCAGATATTTCAACGACATCAGAGCATAAAAAACTTCACAGACATGACTCGTATCATTTGATAAATTAAATAACATTTTGTCTTTTAACAATTTGCTTATAATAAACCTTCGAATTCCCTTATTTGTAACGAAAACTTGATGAAATACATCATGATACGATAGTGAACGTAGTTCTGTTGTAAAGTTCTCGAACAGAAATTCTGCTGCAAAGTATTCGCCATATGTAACGTGTACGAATTGAATATGGTCATCGTCCATACTTTCGATTATACCAGATCTTTCTTCACCTGATTTAATATGTTCAACAAATGTTTTTATTTTATTAATTTCATCTTCAGTAAAAACATCGCTCAGAACGCTCTTAGGTAACAAAAAATACGCAGCGATCCTTTTATGATTATCTAAAAATAATGTCCGTTCTTTTTCAATCATTTTTCTCATATCAGGATCTTTAATAAACATAACATATTTTTCATCACCTAAACGAATTTTATTAAATTTTATACCTACAAAGATTTCGTAAACAGAAGTTAAGTTAAATGAATTTGTAACCTGTTCTATGTATTCATCTGTATATTTGTCAATATTTTCATAATAGTATTTGAAGAAAGTAAAAAACATTTCAGATATCATGTCCAAATGTAAAGGCACACTAACAAATAAATTTTCTTCATCCCGGAGAACAATACACAGAACTTTAAAAAACTTTTTAACATCTCGCCTTATTTGTACGGCGTTACTAGTTACTAATTTTACAGACCACTTCTTTTCCAAAAATTGCTCTTGTTGTAATGGCGTCAATTCTTGAAGGGAATAGGAAAATGTTTCTAAAATACATTCCAATTCATGTACAACATTGCATGATCTTGCCGTTACCCACAAATGAGCGACATTCGAAAGCTTAAGAGTTTCCAATAGTCTAGTAACCTCATTAGCATAATCAGGACAAATTTCATCAAGACCATCAAAGACAACGGTTATCATATTATTATTATAATAGTGTGTAAATAAGTTTAATTCCAATAGACCTAATTCATTGCATTCTGATTCTAAATCAATATTCCGTAAATATATCGTGTTCCTAGCGCCATCTACTGCTATTAATTTTAAAAGTTGTTGAAGTTTATCTTTTTCGCATAGATTATTAACTTTAGGCTTTTTAAAATGGGCACTAGTTGCAGCAAACAAAAACTTTATAACTTCTACGATATCATTAATATTTGTTCCATCTTCTTTCCATTTACTTAACTCGTCAATATAGTCGAGCAAATTAATGTTAGCGATCCACATTTTCGGTAGAATACGTTTTGTTTGTATTGTAAGATAAGTCAGTAACGTTGACTTTCCCATACCGGATCCTGCACATATTATTACACATTTTTCATCGATATCTTTCAAAAACTTTGGTCTCACTCCATATTCATCTTCAAGTTTTCTTTCTACATATTTCAGTAATACTTTTAAACTGCCTTTTGACTTTTTCCATACATAGCAATTATTTTCATATTTAAACCAATGAACATTATTTCCTTTGTGTTCTGTACAGAAATCATCGTATTCCTCGCTAGCTTGCGATATGAAAATAATATCAAGTTTAGTTTCCGACATTGAGAGACAGTCATTACACTGCATACTATGTACTATTAATAAATCATGATAAGTAACGCTTACATCTAAAGTAACATATCGATACATGACTCGGTTAATATAATAAATATCTAGAGTATTGTAGTAGAGTTTTACTAATTCCTTGCCAACTTGTATTTTTTCGTTATTTAACATTTTACGCAGAACTTTACCACTTACAAACTTAGAAGATTTATGATCTAAAATGTGGTGAAGTGCTAATTCATTTCCTTGGAAAATAATATTTCTCTTTTTAAGTACCTTATCACGATATTCCCGCACTAGATCAGTTAGGCAATCTTTGTCTTCCACCTGCACAATATTTTCCTTTAACATCGGGTCAAAAAGGCCTCTTAGTTTACTATTCGTTACAATAATTACTTTTCCTTTAAAATTAATTAACATATCTTTAATAGATTCACAGGTAACTTTGTTCTTAAAGTCATTGTTCTGAAAAACCACTACAAGTTTGTTAATTTTAGATTTAGTTAACTCAGTTTGTACAGCTAACAAAAAATTTTCGTGAATTACATATTCCAAATCTATAAATATACATCCTTGTTCTAAATTATTTTCTTGAAAGTATTGCACTATCTTTATACATGTAAAACAAAATTCATCTGAATAAATGATCAAAGCTGATTCACTGCCATTCAAGAACTTATCAATGCTTAGTAATTGTATTGCAACAGCCAAAAATTTGACCGAAATACTTTTCAAATTTTCACGATACATAATGTTTAAAAAACCCAGTAATGGAGTTTCTAAGATTTCATTTTGAGCTTCGTGAAAAAATTTACATGTTGGTGTTAAATAAGGAGCTGAAAGTGATTGTCTCCACCATTTTTGGATTCTGTCGTGTACTCTTAAAAATATTGCATCACGTTTTATTTTGAAAAGCGTTTCATTTTGATTCTGCTTGATATGGCAAAATTCATCTATTTCTAATTTGACAACATCTTCTACTTCATTTTCTTTGGCTTGATTTGTGAAAAAATATACTTTTTCCAAAAAATCTCTAACAATAGATCTATCGTAGTCATTGTCGTACAATGTAAGTCGCGGCAGACGAAAAGTTTTGAATTCAAACCTAAATCGATCGAGATCACTTAGTTTCTCTTTTAACATATCTAATAGTTTAACATTATCCTCAGATAACGCATGTTCAGCCAAATTAAATTTAAGTGTCTTTGTGATACAGTCTACCACCAATAAATTGCCTATTAAGCCTCCGAACCTATAACTTTCCATGTCCGAATCTTGTAATATTTTATTTGGTCCAATCATGCTGTCATCAACATTTACCAAAATGTAATTCTGATTTTTATTAATATCTTTATTATTTGCTTCAGATACTAATTTTTCAAATTTTGAACTTAAATATGTTAATCTCCTCTGTTTTTTAGCATCACTACCACTGAAAGTAAAATTATCATTGCCAAAATTAATAGGTAACTTGAACGTTAGTGATTGCATATTGAACTTACACTTATGATCATTTAACTTCTTACTCTCTAATATTTCTGTATTGATTGTTTTATTCATAAGCAATAAGAGCTCATCGTTGCTGGTCAAGAAACTTTCTCTAAACTTTCCAAGAAGAAAAGTTTCTTTCGTCGAATCTTGTATAGTTTCTGAAGTGATTACATTTTGAGCCAGGTACACATGAAAAGATTTTAATAATTCGTCCATCATCATATTTTTATAATTTTTGTTGTCTTTCAGAATAAACTGGCATAAGCGCTTGGCTAAAGCTACAACTCGTGATATACAAATATTTCGAGATAAAAGTCTAAGATCATTGTCATCATAATTATACTGAAAGATCTTACCATCGTGATTAGTTTTTAAGAAATCTATATTGTGATTCACATTTTTCTTTTTGCTAAAGTTTTCCAATGCTGATGTGAAAATGATAAAATAACAATCAACGTCTACAACAGATCCTCTAAATAACTTGTCATCATTATTAGGAGAAAATTTTCTTGTTATCTTTAAGTAGCTATCGAAGTATTTACACAAACTGAAATCACCGTTCTGTTTTAGTAATTCGTCGATCGTTATTTCTCCTTTTGTGGGATTTTCTCTGTGCTTCGCTTGCAAAAATAATATTTTTGGTTTTTTTCCTCCTTTTACATCATATCTGCAAATTATATCGTCAAACGCACCAACACTTTCCATATTAGATCCCAACAGAAAATCATTAATTTGCTCACAATTCAAAATCCTCAATAAAACCAAAGTTATTAATTTTGTTTCATATAACTGCCCCCCAAGTCCAGACGTTTCATTTCTCTTTCGATAAAAATTTTCTTTTGTAAACTCGACAGTATTTTCAACAATCTTGTGTATCTGAATTTTACTAATTTGGTCATTTATGTTAGTTATTTCTTTTTCATCATATACCTTCTTCCGTTGTTTGTCATAATCATAGCTTTTAAATAGGCTAATAATATCTGATCCGTTGATTGTGTCAGGTTGTTGAGCAATATCAAATGCAGTTTGATTACTATTATTTTTAAGTGTGGCATTTGCTCCTATATCTAAGAGAAATCGTACTACCTCTGGTCCTCCTTTTAATACTGCAATATGCAGCGGCGTATTGCAATTATTATTAGCATCGATTGCATTCACATCCGCACCATGACTCAAATACTTTTTAATTTTCCGGATTTTTTGCTCCGACGTTTTATTTTTTCTTAACGCATTGAATAATAGTGAATTTTGTAGAATTTTATTTCCATCAGTTGCAACATTCGCTTCCATTTGGATTAGTGTTTTATAATATAAATATGGCGTCCATTAAAATACTATTGCTGTTCTGCTTCCAAATTCTGTATATTTATTGGTTTCTCTCAATCTGTGGCTTACTTAAGAGTTATTTTGAATTATACGATAAGTAAGGTAAATACATGTTTCTTGTATTATTGTATGTTATGAAACAGCACTGAGATCTGAAACATCATGAAAAAACAAACTCAGTTCGACTGACTAGTGTTAATAAGGAGTGTTGTATTCTTTAGAAACAAAACACTATTTTGATTTGTTTCTTTTGTCAATAAAATATTGTAATGTTAATTTTCCTGTCTTTTGATCACCATAAACTACATCCAAGAGACGTTCTAGTTTGTCGATATGCATGGAATTGTAAACAAAGTAATGTAATGGAGTCAGTCCAGATTTATCTAGGGACATACAAATTTTCTTAAATTCTTTTTTATTTACGAGGCTCTCTAGCTTGTCAAAAAAATTATATGACTGACTAGAAGCAGCTCTATGAGCTGCTAGTTTATTTTCTGAATCTTTTAAAGTAAAAATGTGTACAAGTTGTTCTTCACTTAACTTACTTAAGGGTCTATTAAAATTTAAATCTTCAACACCTATTGATTCCGACACTATGTGTATGTACTTCTTGGATTTAATTCTATTAAACCATTTCTTATCAAAATTCATACTAAAAACTTCTACCACCATGTGAGGTGGTAAATCTGATAAGAATAAATGCAATAAAACCAATTTGGACTGCTGCCACTTCTCCTGTCCATATGCAATTAACAACGGATTAGAATATGGAAGATCACAACAATTAAATAAATCGATAATTTGACTGGCATTAACATTTTTTACGGAGTCCAATATAAACTTTACCACCCTCTCTGCATGTCTCTTGGTCGCAATACACAAAATGCAACTGTTTAAACTTTTACTCACAATTTTTATAAAATCTTTAAGGTTTGTGTTAGTCAATACATGTTCAATACATTTCAATAAAAACAACGCAGTATTTTCCAAGTATTGATCAACGGCCGTGTATATTAACTTAGCCATCTTTTCATGTTGTTGAAGCCAATTTTCAAACATTGGTTTTAGCTCTATGTTATGGATTATATTATAAAAATTTGGATGATTACCTAATTTTGCATTAAAAAACCTTTGTGGACCTCCGACTTCTGATTCAAGAAACGTATTAATCAGATATGTCCACATGTAACTCCTACTTTGGAAAGTTTTTAACCTGTCGCAAAGGAATTCTGTACTAAAATATTCTGCGAATGTGTAATGAACAAACTTAGGCTCGCCGAGGACAATTTGTTCAATAATACCTGTCTTTTCTTCTCCTAATTTTACCCTATCAATAAAGTTATGAATTTGCTTAGTATCATTTTCATCCAAAAAGTTTATTTCATTCATTTTACCGAATACTATGTACGCGGCAATTATTTTATGATTGTAAAAAAAGGTGTCACGCTCGTTTTCTATAAGTTTTCGCATGTCAGGGTCATTGATACACAAAAGTGGTTTTTTTTCACCAAAACGAATCTTGAAAAATTTTATATCAATAAACCGTTGATATATTTGATTTAAATTAATTTTGTTCATAGTGTTTTGTTCGCTAATGAAACTTTCATAACTCTCTGCATTTAACGGGAAAGTATGATAAGAGTCTTGAAAAATCTCAGCTATCATGTATAAATGTAGTGGTATGCTAATAAACTTGCTATTAGTATCAGTAAACACAGCAGATAGAACAGCCAAAAATCCTTTTATTGAATGCGACAAGAACCACGGTTCATTCAAAGGAAAACTTAGCATCGATTTTCCTACATTTCTCGTGGACCATATTTTCTTTAAAAATTGTCTTTGATCGTCCTCTGATAATGGCTCTATTGTAAAAGAAAACGTCTGCATGACACTTTCCAACTGATTCAATACATTGTACAAACGACTAGTTATCCACAAATGAGCAAGTTTTGAATTTTTAAGGATATTTGCTATTTGCATAAATTCGTTAGCGTAGTCCGGACAAATTTCATCAAAACCATCAAACAATAAAGCAACTCTGTTGTTATTGAAACAGTGTACAAATAACTGTATCTCAAATAAATTTAGTCCGGTGATATTACTTCCCTCCTTATCCACATTGAAACAAATATCTTGGTCCTTAACAGAAACATGATCAATAACCAGTTCAAAATTGCATGTCTTATCTTTACTAGCTTCGAAACCAATTGCTCGAAATAAAAACTTTACAACTTCTTTGAAATCAATGGTAACTTTACGTTGCTCCAGATTTTTAAACTCATTGATGAAATCCAATAAATTAATTTTAGAAATCCATAGCGAGGGGTATTTTTCTTTCGTGTTTATAGCTAAATGTGTCAACAAAGAAGATTTTCCCATACCAGGCTCAGCGCTTATTATTACTACTTTCTCCTTAATGTCTTTCAAAGTCTCAGGTTGTAATTTATAGGCGTCGTGTGAATTCTTTTTAACGTGCTTTAGAATATTGGACAAATTGCCTTGGGATTGTTGCCAAACAAGACAATTTTCATCGTTACGAAACCAATGGACATTACAGTTTTCATACTTTTCGTTAAAATTGACATATTCGGCTTCATTATCTGTAATTAAAACGATATCTGTCGCTCTGGGTTCAAAATTATTTCCCAATTTATTATATTCCATGATATCAAAATCATCATTAGCTTCAATATCTTTCTCTAATGTTACATAACGACATACTTGCTCCTTAATATAATAGTCTAATATTTCATCATATGATGGGTTATTGAAATGTCGGCCAATTACAGTATGTTCATTGTTTATAATCTTATAAAGAACGTTAGAATTTAATAGCTGATACGACTGATCTTCAAACAATACGCCAAGTTTAACTTCCTTTCCTTGAAAGATGATATATCTTTCGTTTCGCAACATCTCGCACATAGTATCATCGAGATCGTCAAAGCCTATTTGCAGGTCAACTTTGGAGACAATGTTTTCTGTCGCTATTCCATCAATTTGAGGAATTAAATCCTTAATACAAATTAAAATTACTTTTCCTTTAAAATGCTTGATTAACAAGTTGAGTTCTGCAAAAATATGTTCACTTTTACAAACTATTATTAACGTTTGTATTTTAGATTCTTTTACTTCTACTTTAACATTGGCAAAATAATTACTATTTGCTATATAATCCAAATCAATAAAAGTGTAATCACTATAATGATTTTCTTTAAAATTTTGGAGTAACTTCATACTGGTCAGAGCGATTTCTTCAGTGATTATTGTCATTATTTGTATTGTTCCTTCTAAAAAACTATTTAAATTAAAGAAGCCTGTTATTACATCTTTAAATTTTATCTCACACATTGTAATTTTTACTGTTTTTATGTACGTGAAATTAAGAACATTTAATAAGGGACTGTTAAGGACATCTTTTTCTGCGTCTAGAAAATATTGACAGGATTCCGTTAGGTACGGGGCTTCACCTGAAATTTTCCACCACTTTTGTACCAGATCATGAGCTTTTAAAAAAATAGCATGACTTTTCACTTTAAATAGTTGGTCACGTTGTCTAGGAATATTACCGACAAAGAATTCGTCTATTTCCTTCTTTACAATATCTTCAACTTTGTCCTCTGTGGCCTGATTGGTATAAAAAATAAGTTTATCTAGAAAATCTTTGATAAGTCCTTTATCGTATTTTTCGTGAACCAAAGATAATCTAGCAAATCTATGAACATTTATGTCAAATCTGTATTTACTGAGATCTGTTTCTACAAATACTTCATTTCTTAATCTCTCTAAAAGCTTAATATTGTCTGGAGACAAAGTTGTGAAATCTAAATTAAATTTCATAGTCATCGTTTTTTCATCTAATATTAGCAAGTTGCCAACTAGACCACCTATTCTGTACGTCTCTAAATCAGTACTTTGTAAAATTTCGTTGGGACCGACTTTATCGTCATCTATTTTGATCAAAATGTTGTTAATCGAGACATCAGCAATTTCAAGTAGCTTTTTAAATAGTGAGCAAAGGTATTCAAGTTTCTTTTCTTTTTTCTGCTCGTTACCAGTGAAGCAAAAGTTTAAATTACCAAAAGTAATGGGAACTTTAAAAGTATACGTTTTCAAGATATTTTCCACTTCTTCAACGTTATCCGTGCCTATACCTTTCTTTAGTTGTATTGCTTCTTTACAAAGGGTAGTTTTAAAAGCTATCAATAAAGCACCATTACTTGTTAAGAAAGTTTCTCTAAATGTTGCGTTATAAAAATTGGGCGCTTCTTCGCCTGTAAGTTTAATATCAATAATGTGTCTGGCAAGGAATACATGATATGTTTTAATCAATTCGTCCATCATCATATTATTATAGTTATTATTATCTTTAAAAATAAATCTTGACAGTCGTTTTGCCAAAAGAACAGCACGCGCTTTGACTACTGTAACTATAAGGTCTTCTACGTCTTCTTCATCATAGTTAAACTGGAATACCTTTCCGTTGGTTGTATTTATAAAACTTTTTACTTTGCTTTGTTCAATTACTTTTAATTTAGAAAAATTCTCAAATGCTGAAGTGTAAATTATGAATTCACAGTCTATATTTTTGAACTCTCCAATGAACATGTCATCTTTCGTATCTGGCATAAACATTTGACTTATTTTTATATAACTTTCTAAGTATTTGTGTAAACTGAAATCGCCATTCAGTTTCTTTAATTCGTCGACTGTAAATTTTTCTTTTGCAGGATTATCTCTGTGTTTCGCTTGTAAGAACATCATACTAGGTTTCTGATCATTACCTGAATAATACCTAAAGACAACATCATCAAAAGCACCCATATTCTCTGCGTTGGTCCCAATAAAGAATTTAGGAACCTCTTGAATATACAAAGAACGTAGTAAAATAAGACTTAACAATTTTGTTTCATACAACTGTCCACTAAGTCCAGAAGTTCCAGTTCTTTTGGGATACAGAAATACTTTTTTCTTGTTACTTTTCTTACTATTTGATTCCGGTTTCACATCATTTTTATCTTTTAGTGAACCTTCTTTCTTCACTTTATTATCACCGGAATTCATTTGCATTTTAGTTTCCCCTTTGATTTTTGACATCTTAGAATTTGCTTTTGTTTTTGGAGCAGCCTCATTACTTTGTTGACTAGAACATGTGTCTGAGTCTTTACTGTCCTTGAGTTGTTTATTACTCTTTACAGTATCGTTTTCAACGCATTGTTGCCCAGATGATATATTTAAATCTGTAGCGTCTAAAATTTGTTTACGATCAATTAGATCAGTTCGATTGGAATTTTTATGTTTATTTTTAAAGTTTTTCTTATTTTCTGAACGTATTGAAGATCCTTCAATTTCTTGTTTATTGGAAGGTCTTTCTAAATCTTTGCTATCTTGTAGTTGATTCAGTTCACTGTCAACGGTTTCTTTATATTTGACTAAATCATTTTTATTTGTTTCACCACCAATATCGGAAATCTTCGAACTCTCAATAACTTTATTGGTTTCCTTATTTTTCGAGTTTTTAGAGCTTTTCTTTGAACTTTTCGTAGCTTTTGGATTTTGTTGATTAGAAGATATGTTTAAATTTAAATCTGTATTGTCCCGTAAATACTGAAGATCATTATTTAAATCAGGTTTATGCTCTTCAAAAGTTTTAGTTACGGCAATAATATCGCTAATCACTGTACTATCTACTAATTTAATGTTTCCTATATCATCTAAAGATTGAAAATTACTCTGCTGAAAACTAAACTTGGTTTGTTGTTGACTAGAAAGTGTGTCTTCATTATGTTGTGATTGTTTTACATCATTTTGTACTTGATTGCCATCATATACTGAGACAAGATCCTCTGGAACGTCACTAATATTACCAATCACTGTTCTTTCAACAATGTTAAGTTGATTTTTACTCTGTGATAAGTTGCAAACACTTTCATGCATCGAAATGCTGTCAATGTATTGTTGGTTAAAGGATTTTTCTAAACCTCTGTTGTCTAGTTGTTGTCCAACATCACTTTCCACAAAAATTTGATCTTTAGTCAAATCACCTGTATTTTTCTTGAAGAGAACTGTTTCGCCGCTGACATTTTGTATTATATCTATGCTATTATCTGTATCTCTTTTATTTGCTTTGGTAGATAATATGATTTCAGGATCAAGATCACATAACTTTTGATTCTTAACAATTACATTGTTGTCATTATTTTGGAAGCCCTTTTGATGACCTCCTTGTATCGAATTAAGTTTAACTTCTTGTGGATCAATTTGTAATGGATTTAGGCCATTGCTTTGTACTAAACATTCATTATTTGTTGAATCTAAAACAATAGAAATTTGGCTAATATCACTGATCACAGAACCATCAGCAATGTTAAGGTCTTTATTATTTGCCAATTTATTTGAATCACTATGGCTTAAACAGCCTACAATTTCACGTTCATTCGGAGATATTAAGAATTCTTTAGTATCTTGCGGTTTTTTACGACTATTTCCTGTGGCATTTTTATCTTCACCAATATCACAAATCTTTGGACTTTTAATGTTCTTTTGGTGTTCTTCATTTGTTACGATTGTAGAATTACTCTTAGCAGTCGCTAAAGCCGCTGTGACTTGTTGAATGGAAGTGATATTTAAATCTTTGCAGTCTTGAGATTGTATAACATTTGATTTGGTTTTATTATCTTCCTTTTTGTTCTTGGCTAAACTTGGTGAATTACTGTTCTTGATGTGCTGTTGACTAGACGATATTTTGAAAGTTTTACTGTTGTGTGATTGTTTAAAATTACTTTTTACTAGTTCTTTCATTTCTCTTAAACTGTCTGTCCCTTCGTTAAATGATTTCATTTTAACACCAATGTCACTTGCAATTCCAACAATCTTATTAACTTTGTTATTTTTGGTCATTTTAATATTATGCTTCTGTAATAAAACATTATCAGCGTTTTGTAGACTAGAAGACATTTTTAAATGCTTACTTAATCGTGGTTGTTTAACATTAATTTCTACGGGTTTATTATGTATGACGGAACTTTGGATTTTCTTTTCAGTATTTATTTTGGTTGTAGTACTAATCATTGCCGAACTTGCTTTAATTTCACAATTTTCTGTACTCGGAAGAGTAAGTTCTTTACTTTTCAAGGTCTGAGGATTACACTTCTTTAATGAAGTAAGATCACTGTGTTGGTAACGTATTTTTAAATCATTACCGCCGTTATCTTTAGCTGAACTAAAAGCTTTTTCTTTGGGTTTTTTTAAGTTAACATCAATATTACATTCTGGACTAGAAGATTTTATACCTAAATCTTTACTATTTAGTAATGTCCTATATTTAATTGAAGTCATGTTAAATTTATCTTTAACTTCAGGGGTCTTATATTTGTTACTCTTTTTTGAAATAGCCTGAATGTTTTTTTGAATATATGATATTTTACGTTCTGGTTGTTTAAGATTATTTCCTATAGCTTTTTTATCTTTGGCTAAAGCATATTTATTATCAGAGGTCTTAGATTTACTTCCCTGTATTGAAACAGCGTCGGGGCTTTGAACACTAGAAGGTATTTTGAAATCTTCTTTCCAGTGTACTTTTTTCTCATATTCCTCTGTTTGATTCAATTTCGGTTTATTGACGTCACGAATAAAGAGATTTTCAAGCATCCTTGTGACTTCATCAATGTTTGCCTTAACACTCTCAGTCGAAGTAACATTAGTGTCATGTGGACTAGAAAAGAATAAGTCTTCACTACAATGTGGTTGGTTGAAAGAATTTTCAATAGCGTATTCATCTTCCTTTCTAATAAGCGACTTGGTTACAATTGTGTTAGTATTATCTTCGCCTATTGAAGTTGAAGGTTGACTGATATTTTCTCTGAAATCTTTGCTATCTGGAGTGATACTAGTTACCTCTGAGTCTTCATCTTTTATTTTGATTATAAATGGACAGCCAGGTCGCTTAGGAGGTTTTAAATTATTCAAATTAACAGGTTTTAAGTTATTGTTCGCAAACGTCTCTAATAGTGTAATAATTTCTTTTCTTTTTATAGGATTTCCACTTCGTGAATGAGCAAGGTCTAAAGCAGATTTGCCATCATAATTTTTTTTCTTATATTGAGCACCTTTCTGTAAAAGAAATTCAACAAGTTCTGGTTCTTCTTTGATTACTGCAAGGTGCAATGGTGTGTTGTTTTTAAAGTTAGCTTCAATTGCATTGATATCGGCTCCACGTTCCAAATACTTTTCAATTTTCTTTATTTTTTCATCTTGCGTTTTCTTCTTAAGTATACTGGCGAACAGTAAACTATTATAAAGTAACTTATTTTCAAGTTCGGGATCATGGTCATTATTTTGCATTTATTAATTATTGACGGATGTTTCTGAAACAATGTTGTAAAGATAACGTTTTCACACTATTTTAGACCAACAACACAAACACGAACACAAACAGTAGACTAACCAACTGTTGTCTCTCAAACTACATATAAGTCCTAAATACTACGTAGGTACGAAAATATTACATCAAAGCAGATTCATGTTGCACTTACATTATTATCACAAAAACACAAATAAGAAATCGAGCCAGATAAAGTGACAAAATTAAGTACCTATCGCTCCAATGTCCTGTACTCGATAGTCTGTCAGAATGCGACTCAATTTTATTTATCAGTTAATAAATATGAAGATAAGATGCAATATTATAAATGCCCCTATTATGACGCCTGTTTTTCCCCAAAATGATAGGCAGAAGTAGATATCTGAAACTGTTTTTCGAGTTTTTCCCGTGTTAAAGAGAGCGCATTTAATTGCATGCCTTGTACCTAATCAACGACCATATATTCCAGTGTGGTCGTTGCATGTAATACAATGGATACGATACAATGCAATTAAAGACTTATTTTCTTTCTCGCTCCGTATGCAAATGTCCACTTACAATCAATAATGAATTTTCAAAACATTAAAAAAAATCACACAAAAAGTAGTATCTAAACATTGGAAATAAAGTCTATAATAAAGTAGATATCAAGGTGGACCGCTTACCGTCTGGCGAGCCGTACGTTTTGATATTGCCAATTATAGCAGTGTAAAAAATACTTGAGTACGTTCCTACTTACAGAGCTACTCCAAAACACGGAATGACTAAACTTAATTCAATATCTTTGTTATCCTGGGACAACGATTCATCTTCAAACTCTCCTAGTATTAACCAAGTGTACGCACGTAGGTAATTACGATTAATTCTTAAACTATAAAATTAGGTATCAAGGAAAATGCCTACTTCAAAATAAGTTAGAGAACCGACAAGACTACTCAATTTGTTTGTCTTCAATCTACGTCATCAAAATCTCGACTTTCCTGTTTCAACTCTGTTACAATATACAGTGACTCACCAGTGAACTAAGATTACCTAAAGTATCATGTTATTACGCTCCAAGATGAATTCTAAATGCCAAGGTGCGGCAGGCTGAAATTATAGTGTGTGTAAATTGATGTCTTATCGTGTGAATCATTCGACAAAGTTAATAAAAAAGATAACATCAAAAAGAACCTACTCCTAGCTCCTAGATTTATAAGCAAATCGTAATAAATACTTAATGCCTTTTATTTCTAACTAGCGGACCCCGCGAATTTCGTATAGTCTTTGGAATTTATTTGCCTTTCTTTGTTATATTTTTCTTGCAATATATGAATCCTCTCATACTTAACAATATGTAACAAACCCAATAAAAAATAATTAAGTAGCGAGCTTGTTTAGCAACACATTTAGCGATACCTAGATTATATTTACATAGATAGCGCTCTGCTCTATTTTACTATTGATGCAACATGTTTACCTTTTGAGTTTATTATCTTTTGAGTCCCACAAACCAGGAAAGTCCAGGATTTTGTGTCAAATTCTATGCTATCTATGTATTATTAAGTATTCATATTGTACAGAGTGTGGGTACGTAGGTACACCTTATATATCATGAAATAATAACAGCAAGCAAGTACCAGTCCACAATAAAAACAGATATTTGTTTCATACAAAACACCAGCTATAGGTATTTTGCAATGATGATTTTATTACGCGAGCCGCTGAAATACATTCCTTGCAGGGAAACGATAATTATACGGGTAGGTACCTGTCAGACTATTGAATATACCAACAACAACTGATTATATTTAACGCTAGATACGTCGTACCTATACCTAATCATATTCAATAATCAATTCTAACCAAAAAATTAAAACTACATAACTATCATATTATTATGATTGTTTTACGAAACAAAAATTTCACGTCAAAACGATTGGAAGTCTAACTACTAACTCTACACTGTGAATATCTTTAGCTACTTTTTGAGAAATCATATGTTCTAGTGTTTTAGAACAACATACGTATAAGATTACATAGATACAAACAGATAAATTTCTAGTTACATTACACTCGTAATGTTTATCAACCAACTAGGTATATCTACCTAATTAAATACCTAAAGAGTTCGTAAACTGTATGACTGTAGGTAATAATACCCCCGGCATGAGTCAACCAGACATCAACCAAGGTCCCAGGTCTTGCCTCTGATATCACAACTTCACCATTTAAAATTACAGGCCATTTGCAATTTTCGATAGAAAAACTTTAAATATTTTTGCTCCAAACAAATGATAAAATATGTGACCTTGAAATCTAAAAATACGTAAGTACTTATTTGTTATCTCTAGGTAAGTATTAAAAAATGTACTAACCTGTAAGTTCGTAATAGAAATAAAACTTTGAAACAATCACTTAATCACAAACTTGAGGATTCATAACAATTTTGTTTGGTACTAACTTTTACAAATGTATGTATGGCTATAAATAGAAAAAGAAACCTTTGTAAAGTTGCCATACATAAGATTTTTTTTTACTTGATCTATGTACATTACATGTATTTTAATGTAAAAATTCAAAATATAGAATGTACTCACCGTCATGGTTCTTATTTAAAGTGTAAGTAATTAAGTTCTTTCAAGTTCGGCATCGTGCTCATTGGTATACCTGTGATATGAACGCTCACCATCACCATCAGACGGCTTCAAAGCTTTGTTTCTGAAGTTTGCTGCAAAAAAAGATATCTAATAATGATGCAAGTACCCAATGACTCCCTATTTATTTTCTGATGACTCTGGTTCTTAAATATTTTTAATTCTTACTTTACTTGCTGGCAATACTAAGATTTTAGTAGTCGGCAATACTGAGTATCTATCACAGAAAACAGAACTGTCATCTGTCATATTATCTCTTCTGTCAGTTAGAATTGTCTCGACTCTCGAGTTTTGTGATTTTGTGTTGAGTCGTTTCCCAATTGTATTTTGTATCGATGTTAGAGGAATGTTTCTTTATTAAATAAGAATAACCGTAGGTAAATATAGGAAATTTATCTAGTTAAGTAATCCAAGTGCTGTTTTATAAAAATGAACCATGGTGAATGTTATGAAAGGCGTTCTCGTCGAATGGTAGGTAAACAAAACAAAGTTTCAAACAATATTGTATTTAATTCAAATAGTTCAAGTATTTGGTCTTTCATCCCGGTCAATAAGTGATCTTCACAGTACGCAATCAAATGCTTACTGTTGTAAACAAACTGTGAAGATGTTAAGAAATAGTAACATACTTAGTTATATTTTGTGTAAAAAGGTTAAGTATAATAGCATTTTGGGTAATAGTTTATGTTTCAATATAATCCAAATCTGCCGGGATGTTGAAACTCTGGTCGATAACATCATTCTCCATTTGAAAATTGTTCTTTATATAAGATTTCAGTATATAAATGTTTTCTGTCCACCTATTTGCAGCTGTTTTTAAGTCCTGAAATTGGTTCAATAATAATTATGATAATGTTCTAAGAATTTAAGTTTTCTGATGCAGATATTTTATAGTTACCAAGATACCTTAAGCCAAAATATTGTACACATACAGGACAAGTTTTGAAACATCAAAATTTAAATTAAAGTCTAGTCAGTGAAGGTAGATAATAAAATAATAACAATTATAAACTTCTTTGTAAATTATACCTGAGTTTCTTTTTTCAACTGAGCCATGTATTCTGGATCGGAGTCCCTGTACTTTTGTAATTCCTTTTTAAGTTTCTCTTCTTGTTTCTCTAGACTTTCCAGTGTTGATAGAATTTTCGTCCTTTCCTCACAGATTTCTCTTCCAACCTGTTGTTAATATGATTATTAACAACACAGTTCAATTTCTTGCAACAAATTATCTTTGAAAAATTTATTTTATATTATATTCTTAACAGGCTAGCTTACCCTCGTATGTGAGACACAATAGGAAATATATTGTGTCTCACGTAGATCTACATTCTGGCATATCACGGGTTAATATTGCAGTTTTATTTTGTTATAGACACGTATTGGCATAACAGATAATATTAAATCACTATTAAATACTTTGAGATACATACAGATTCACTTGCAATCAGATCTTCAGTCTTTTTCAATTTCTTTGTGCATTCATCTATTTCATTTTGTAAATCCTGCACTTTCCTCTTCTTAGCATTCTTCGCTTTACTAAAAAAACATAAAATAAAATGTTTATGGACCTATGCCCATAAATATTTACACAGTATCTATATATTAAACAGTATAATAATTTATTTTATTACAATCTTACCTAGGAAATGACCAAAAGTATATGGAGGTACCGATCTTCTCTGAGTCAACAAGATGATCATCTACTAAGTTTTGGACTACTTCTTTTACTGATTGCATTGTGATACCCTTCTCTTTTGGTGCTATTTTCTCTAACTCCTATTTACAATATGAATAATTAAATATTCAAATTGTTTATTATTGCAATTAAATAGACAGATGTTGTAATTCTTGTGATAATAAACAATTTGTATTTGTATAGCTTTTGTATAGTTACAACTTATCTTACCCAATAACTAATCATAATAAATTTAGTAATAAATCAAGAATCATACCTTTAACTGAAAGAAATCCTTACTGTTATGGAATATCTCCAACATCCTGATCTTTTTCTCTTCGGCACTCAAACCTCGTTTCTTTGACATTATGATTACAGTGATCCGGCTATGAAACAGTTCCTTCTTCACCTGGACGAGACCTTAGCTCTGGGCAGAAAGTTTATTCTCCAAGACCTGGATGAAACACATCTATTTATATCTGCAGATATAGTGGAAACTCTGCAAGCTCGAGTGGATGATTTGATGGACCAACTTAGTATACCAGTACATGACAAGGGAATGTAAAGATGGCTACCCACGGAAGAGGTAATAGGGAAACAGAGAGGAGGAAGATCCTAGACGATGCAGCAAGGAAACGCAGAGCTAGAAAAGCTGTTGAGGCCCTCGAACAAGACAATTTCCATGAAGACCCACATGCTGACCTGGTTATGTCGAAGAAGGTGCCGAAATTCGCAGAAACTAATGAAAAACCTACCAGAAAGAAGAAGACCAAAAGTGCTGAGTACTATAAAATGCGATTTCGTAAGACTTTTGCGCAGTTAGTTGAAGAAGATGCAAGTTTTAGACCTGACCCGCCCAACTACCTGTCTGCACAAGTGCCACCTTCTAAGTGAGTAACAATTGAATTTGTTTAAACAAATTATTTAGATGAAGCTAAGCTAGCCATATAATTTTAAATAATTCAGTTTTTTAAACCCTGATTCAATGATCATAACCATATCTTTATCAAGAGCATCTAACTATCTTATGTTCAATGAAAAATAATGTGTTACCAAAATAATGACTAATACCTAAAGATGGTAAATATTTTCAAAACTAATAAACATCTCTTTGGTCAATTAATGTTGTTCAAGAGAGTTTATTTATTAGGTAAATATTACAAATGGCACATTTTATTTTTTCCCATAGTAAGTAAGGTGCACAATAGATGTAATTAATGTGTGTAATATATTTATTGTAATAAATAAGTATTATGATTAATGTAATAAATAGATATTTTTACCTGCCAGCCGAGTGAATTCACAAAGATGTTATTTAATAAGTGTTATATAATGAGAGTCGCAGATAAACAGTAATAACGATATTTATTTGTTATTTTATTTAGTTTAATACAAGGTTTGTTTTTTTTTGTTATATTTGTAATAGTTTGGATTACTTTATTAGTTACTATAAGTTTAATATGGTATAAGGTGCGCTAGATTTTATAATACTTTGTTATCGCATTGGGTCCTAAACCTGTAATGTTAACTTGTGTGTGTAATAAGTAAATAAAATATTGTGTAAAATAAATAAAGTAAATTTTAAATTTCACTAAATCAATTTTGGTTTTCAGATTTCCCGATCGACATTTCTGTGCTGTATGTGGTTTTCCATCGAATTACACTTGCATACCTTGTGGAGCTCGTTACTGTTGCGTTCGCTGCTTGGGAACACACTTAGACACGAGGTGCCTCAAATGGACAGCTTAATCCTCCCTTTTTTTAAAATAAATACTTTTTTCGAATTGCAAACTCTTGTTTTATTCTTTTCGTACTTAGTCTGTTTCCCGCCAAAATCAAATTGTCTGTTGTCTATTTACTTTTTTCTTGTTTCTTTTTTACGATTTGTTTATGGTTTCTGTTTATGGTTAGTAAAGAGGTTTCAATTTCGTGTGCACTTAATTTTTTTTTTCTAACACGACATTAATTTCATTTTCTAACACACATTTCATAGCATAAAATAATAATCTTTGATGAAACCTTGCGTCTAAAAATAATCGAAAAGAATCGCTAGAACACTTGTAAAAGGTTTTGTAATGTTACTACGCCCCTTTCAATCATCAGGCAATCGCAAAAAAAAATAATACCTCTGATTTATCAGTCAGCACGCTTAATGAATGAGAATTTATCATAACATCAAATTGTTTTGAAGAAAAGCTGAAGACGAATACAAAATTATTAATTGTAGTCAGCGCCATCTATGAAGCAATAGCTGTAACATCAACCTATCCACTCCTAAATTATTTTAACTATTCTCCGCAAGATGTCGCTACATCTTGTCTTTTAAGTTTATACTACGTACTATTTTTTTGTGAAACATCGTATTTTATTACAAATACCCGTTTTATTACTAAAAAAAAACCACAATGCCTTGGTGTAAGTTGTAGAGGGAATGAATTCTTGGTATGATACTGTGACGTTCAAAAGTGCTTTTCTAATCTAATAGAAATAAATGATTTTGACTTTGGCTTTGATAGTGCTTCTAATTTGAACAGCCCATGAAAGTCCACTGTTTGATACTCGACTACGAGCCTCCTGACTTTCAGTATTCTACATTCAGGCGGGTTGGACATCTTAGTTTCAGTTGAAGTTTACCAAGGCGTACCTACCTATTGTTATTGGGCCTCTATCAAATCTATAGTTTCTGAGTTGGCTATAACAATATCCGCGAGAAGAATAACACATTAAGTGAGCTATATTCAAAGCCTATACAGCCTATATACAAAGCCTCTTCTCACACTGAGGTTTGAGCATTTAAGTATCCACCACGCTTGCTCAATGCGCGTTGACGATTTCAAACTTACCTATAGGTAATTAAAAATTATAAGTCCAAATTTCCTCGCGATGTTTTCCTTCACCGTTCGTCAGTGGTGTCTAAATAATCTTAGAAAGTACATATAATTCGGAAAATGTCCCATTGGTACTTGCCGTGGGTAGGTTTCGAACCCGCATCCTCATGACTTTGAGCTGACTGCACTGTTGGTGCGGTGGCTGGGCAACTGGCTGCCGTGCATCGTGGCGCGGGTTCAATTCCCGCACGGAACAACTCTTTGTGTGATCTACAGATTGTTGTTCCGGGTCTGGGTGTCATGTGTATGTGAACTTGTATGTTTGTAAACGCAACCACAGGAGAAAATCCTAGTGTGGGGCAAAGCTTGAAAAAAACCCTAATTGGCAAGAGTAGGTAACTGTAGTAGTACCTAAATTAACAAAATTAAATGCATTGTACCTACACTGACGATTCTACAAGTCCCTTCTATATAACTACAGTCAAAACTGTTGTCCACATTATCTCTACAAGACCCCAACCGCCGTTATCATCATATTGATACTATTTGCATGTAGAAGAGGAAGTAGGGTGGACCCTGACATCTGTCAGTGATACAACAGCGCCTATTATAAGCCCCAGGTGGTTAGGGGCGCACGATATCATGGCACGTGCCTCAAAGTCAATATTAAGCGTAAGTATAAAGGTACCAGCCCTTATTGTCACTGCATTTAAGTCGAGTGGTTGAATATGCTATTTTGCGCTCTCTAGATGGCACTAATGTCGTCTCTGGTCTTGTTGATCTTATCAATCTTATCAATTTTATTACCCCACAACAAAAATATTCAGTGCATGGTTTTCACACTAGAAAATATTCTATTATGTCTAATAGAATTTTCTAGTGTCATCCCCTCTCTACCTCTAATAAATGACTCTAAATATACTCGGAATTTTAATTCGATTCCAGATTTGACAATTTCAGTGTTGCAACGTTATGACAAGTACTAAATAGTGACGTTGCGAAATTATTCGATATGGAAATGCAATATTTCTGGATCGATTCTTCTCGTTTACAATTTTACTCTCGTAAACCAAGTATATCAGGAAATTAAATATGTCTGAACCGATAATTTAGTTTTGACGATTAATAAACGATCTGAGACTTTTCTTTTATAATTGTATGTGGAGTAAATAAAAAAAATGTAGGTAATCATGAAGGAACATGACAAATAAAACAGATAGATGTATTATGGTAATAAGTTATTTTATAAATTGTCGCCATCATCGCTATCGCTATCCTATCACTTTCTGTAACATTTATACATGTACATGTACCTAGGTACGCCAGTCCCATCCCCTCTCTAATAAATGATTCTAACTAGGTACCTACGTTATAAATAGTTCTATCCAGACATGTATGTTGTATCCGCGTTGAAATTAACAGCACCTAATTTGGGAATCATCAATCCTCTTGTTCCAGCTAACTATGAACTAAGCCTTGGAATTGAACCAAGGCTTTAAGAAAGACCGCTGCGCTTTTGACTTTCAACAACATTACCTTAATTTGAACTTGTTGAATTTTTTCGAATTTTATTGTTCACTCTGAGGGTCTAAACTCTAAATAGATTAATTAGAGTTTTATTATTGTGCCATATGCAACTAATTGAGTTACTCTACTTTTAAGTCCACATAGTCAAATAGGCTGCACCTCCCAGCATTCGGCAGAGCCTTATTATCCCTAAGACAAACTAGAGAAGTGGCTAGACTGCCAATTTACAGTGGGGTGCCTTGAAAGTTGAAACGCGCTTGCCCAACAGCCCACAGAGTGATGGCGGCGCCTAAAATAAAATATGGGCGCCAATGAGGTGCAGGTCTAGGACGCCCTATAGCTTTAATCTACCTCTGCCTCTCAGTACCTTCCTCATTGTCATCTTTCCATCTTGTCCTGTGCTATTTACTCCAATGTATTTTCAAATATGAGTATATTTCTAAGTGTTGGGAATAATCAGTATTTTTGTTCATCAACCAGGTTTTAATAGGTAAATCAAACAAAATACTTAATTGTGTACTTCACTTTCTTTTATTTTCCTTTTTTATGGCTAATTATATATTTCAATTAATAATGCACCATCAGAATCTGTACAGGTAGGTATGTTTTAATTTAAAGTTAAGTAGGTACAGTCAATAAGGAGTATCTCTTTAACTCACGGTTTTGATAGCTGACTGTACTAACAATGAGATATTATTTTGTCTTTCATTTTGTTCACAACCCAAAGAGGTTATAATTGATTTTGGAATATTATTCACGAATAAAAAAAGCCCTCAATGGATTAAAATAAAATGAAAGATTACAAAAATGTAATGTTTCTGGTAGTTTTGACAGCGTTCAGAACTGTCAATGTCAATGTATATTCCCACGTCAGACTTAACAGAATGTGATGTATTATCTTAGAACTATTTTATTATTTACAATAATTATATCACAATACAGTATCAAGGCATTTTAATTCCCATAAACAACAAAAACAAATGTTCCATAATAAACCACTGAAAAAAGAGGTTGAATGAAAATGCCAAAACAAATAATATTACTCTCATAATATTATCTGTAGAATGCAAAATTGTAACGCAATTAAAAAAGAAGGCCTTGAAGAACTTCCAAGAGAACCAAACAAAACAGTGACCCTCACTAAATATCTAAGTATTTACATTTTAAGAACTAATATTTACAAAATGCAACATTTCTCCTTAAACTAAATAAAACTATACAGTTCTCACTTAAATTACTGACTCGATTGTAATAAATATATCGTTTAAAGCCATAAATACATAATTTTGCACAAATTGATTTTACTTTAGATATTTTTTTCCTTATTTTTAATACTGGACTGAGGAATGGTAAACTTTAAAAAAAATGGATGTGTCAAACTACTTGTCTATGAGATGTTTTTTTTTTCGTTACTATGTATTCGGAACATGACCTTACATCATAATGCCAGTACTGTGTTTAATATTAATTTATTTATTAATTAGTAGGAATCGTTTAAACCCGAGATCTGTTAAAGATGAACGGAGATGAAATAGGAACATAACAATTTGTACTGGGCCGATTGTATAATGAAATTAAATCTAATTGGTATAGGTACACACCTGTAACATCGAATAGAAAAATTCTACAGTGGCGCCATTCATGTTGACATGAACATATTATTAATGATTTTGCATAATAAAAATGATTTTGATTGTAACAGAAATACGAACTAAAATTTATTATTAGGTCGAATTGATACCTATTCTAGGCTTGAGATTCACAATAAAGAATGTTTGTAGATCCAGGTAATCTTTCCAATGCAGACAGAAGAATTCTAACCATCTGCTTATAAATGGCTTATACTTCCAGTTACTGCATGTATTTCCTATTCCCGTAAGAATACGACAAACATGTCTTTTAAAACATTCCAATATAAATACCTACATACATAGTTAATACAATAAATTTTCCATTACCAATATTATTGTCGTTTTTGTACTAACTTATAGCGCAAAGAGAGGCTTCTTAGGACGGTTTTAATTGAAACGCGGTATCCATAATCGGCTTCTGGCTTTCACATTACGAATGACATCTATTAAAGTATCAACACACTAGGAAAACTATTCGTAAGTTATTGTCACTTGTCTTCATCACCTTCGACGACAGATCAAGTTCGGCGAAAATTCCAAAAACCGATTACGATTGTACAGAAAATTAATTCGGCCACTTCAGTCCATAACGCTTCACGCATCATCCTTCTTCTTTCTCAATTTCCCTTCGGTGTGTATTGTATGCGTCACTTGATCCACTGCTGACGATAGGTCAGCTTCGGGGTCTATCGCCGCAGACAGCGCTGCAATGTATGCGCACGCTATCCGTAACACCGATAACTTTGATAGTTTCTGGTTGTGACTGTATGCAGGAACTGATCGCCTTAACGTGTCGAAAGCGGCACTTATGGTATGGACTCTTGTCCGTTCTCTCGCGTTTGCTTCTATCCTTCTCTCCCTGGTCATGTTTTTGTAATTCCTCTGTTCCCTAGGCTTTGCTTTGTCTTGGTAAGGCTCTACGACGCCTGGGTGTGGAGGAACTCTTGGTGGGCCCGGTGGTGGTGGAATTGGGGGTGGAGGCGGTTCTAGCGGCCTCCGACGCTGTCTCAATAGACTAGTCTCTTTCTTGACTAAAGATAAGGGTTCTCTTTGTGGTTCCTCGGTGAAGGACCAGGGTCTGAATGGACTGGCCGATGTATCGCTTTCTGGGCTCGGTAGGTCTTCTCTCGAATTCAATCGGATACGTTTCTTAGGTGGTTGTAAACGGGTGGGCGTGCGAGGTCGTTTGCCCCGCGAGTCGGTCTCCACCAGCCGGACCCCCGAGTCATCAGAGTGCGCTGGTCCCGAGCAGGAGTCGTCATCATCGCCTCCTGACACGAAGCCGGCATCTCGCTCTAATATGCGATCTGAAACAAATAGATAAAATATGTTAGTTTTGTTTGAAGAGTTCTTAAAATTCAACTTACATAAAGACAATATTCAGATATGGAAATGTAGAAAGGTTTTATATCATTGTTATATTACGTTAGGCGCCCCATAATATATTTATTTCAATAACTTCATCAATCGTTCCGATAAATGCCTACGTATTCATAAGAAATAATCTAGCACCAAAACAGTGTTAATAAGCTAAGTAAAATTCTGAACGGTTACTTTAGAACTTAACCTATTAGTACAAGTTATGATAGGAGCGGAAGCTGAGCGTGCGCAACAAAAAGCGAACAGGCGCACAAACGGCGCCGACGCTCGTTATGGAGCCACGATGTGACTTGTGCGTAAAGTAGGCCGCAGGTGAGGCAATGGTCTCACCTACTAAGGTTTTAGAATGGAACTTTAATCCTAAAATTAGAATAGGAGGTTCCTGAAACTGTTTAGGTACTTACAACAAATCTAGGAAAACAAAAGATTTATAAAAAAGTAATTTATTTAAGCTTAAATTCTTTCTTTTCTTAAAAAAAACTAAGCTAAATAACCAGTATTTTAGTGTTTAGCTAATATGGACAAGTTCCTATGCGTTATTTATCATTTTTTTTTTTAGAAAAGAGTAAGTTTACAGTGGTAATGCTCGAAAGCTGGTTAGTAATAATGAAAATACTGTTTTTTTATTTGCAAAAATGTCTGACAATAAGAAGTTTTGTAAATGAAGGTCGTTAAGAAATTCGATGGTTTAAAAGCACGGCCTAGCTTGAAATAGTTTATTGCTTCTATTTTCATATTATAATGCAAAACATTCCGCTTTCACGTTTATTAATGTAGCATATTATGTTATTGCATTCAGACACCTGATATCAACCAGTATAGAATTACATATTACGATGAAACATCCAACAACCACAATTAGAAATAGATTTTTATCAAGTAGAGATCAATTTTCATTGGAAATTCCAAATCTTTAGTTTTACAGAAATATAAATAGATAAATATAGATATAATCATGTTATATCAACTTTTTTTTAATAAAATCGTATGGATAGGACAAGGTTGTGCGCCAGTCGCTTGGCGCCGGCGCCTGTATATCTGACGTCATCAAGTCACACCAATGCACATGAGAGGAGAAGTCACGGATAAACAACAAGATAAGTAAACGCTTTGACATAAAATTGGAAGATTTTAAATGTCAAGGTAGAATTTATTAAACTAGTTACCTACATGTAATATTCCTAGCTTCGGTAGATATGATAACATAGGTCTATTTATAAATTGCGGGTTAAAATTATCTCAAGCATATAAATATTTTCTTCGACTTAGTAGATATTTGAAACAGTATTAACTGAAATTAGTTTCCTAAATTGTTCAATAGATGAGTTTGAGAATATGGAACTTGTTTCTAAAGTCTCAGTAAACTTAATTAGGTATCATAAATTATGTTCATTAAAATAAATAATAGGTATGGCAATCTCTCAAAGTCCTAAGGTGTATAATAATATCGTAATCTCATGTGTATCTAACAACATTGTGTGGTATGCATGTATTTATTAACTCCTATATATCGAGGAACAGGTTTTAGTCCATATGGGCAGGCGCGGAGCGATTGTTATTTTATCATATTATTTTACATGGTCCGCATTCCATACTAAAATATTCGAATTTTAATATCCACACAAACGATTAACATTTTTTTTTAAATCATGTTTTTTCCAATTTTGTTTTACTTAGAAGTAATTAACGAGTGAAATGGTAGAAACTTTTTATTGTAATTGGAGGTTATCAGGTTACCTTCTTCTTTATTATCTATGTTATAGGTTCCGTTCACATTCCGTTATAATTTGAATTTATTCTTTTCATAGAGTAGCATAAACTCTAAAGATTATCCGACATTGAAAAAAAAACAACCAAAAAAATGTGAAACCATTTAATTTATTAATTTAGCTTGTAAGATAAATATTCTTACGATACAAACATCAATATTTAATGAAACTGTTTCTAACTACCAATAAAACGGCCTTGCACTTAAAACTTTAACTTTTAAAAGAAGACCATAAAATAAAGAATTAACATAATTAATCGATATCTTAAATTAGTATATTTTATTAGCGGTATAATTTGAAGATACGCCAAATTAGCTCCACCTCCAATTTTCGAAATCTTTTGAAGTAAATTAGTTAATAAGTATTAAGTTTTCAATAAGTTACTTTACAGTCGTATGATCAATTACCACAGACATTTGAACGAAATAATAAAAAAAATACTGTGTAATTTGGCGCCAATGAAAGCTGTCAAATGCGCGTCACGTCACAGATTTACTTTTTTAGAAGTACAATAGTAATGACATCCGTAGCCCTTACATGCCGCGAACGCTAGTGAAGCGAAAACTTACTAATACGTATAATCGTACATTCTTAATGGCCGTGCTACCGGAATTAGTTTATTGCTCATAATCGGGTAGCCGCGGCGCCGGAGAGGCGTTCCAACTTAACAAAATATTTTACCGTTCGATCAGAGAAAATCAGGCAATTCTATGCTCTATCGTTACGCCTTACAACCGATAGAATTCTAATAGATTGTAAATAAACATGGTGACTCGACCAAGTCGCGCTCACGAAGCTTCTCACACTACAGGTGTTTTTATACCGATAAAAAAGATTGGATAGAACTTAGATAGCACCGCCTACGTTTGATCGTGGTTTTAATCGTCATATATAATTTCTTTGTGTCTCTAATGAAAAATGGGTAGTTGGTGGGCCGAGGAATATTTTTGAGACGTTAGAATTCTCGTGATTGGAAACAATTTACGTTGAAAATTTCACATAATAATATTATGCTTTGGTAACATCAATAAACATTTTTATTTCGTTATTTGTTAAACCGGATGTATCTAAGTTTAATACGTAGGTAACCTGTGTTCAGAGAAATACTTGTATTTAAATTTTCGGGACGCCGATAATATATCATTGCAGATGAACAATAAAATAAGGCTCTTCGACCGTAAGGGTCTGAACAGCTCATTACGGCCCTTCACAGCGCGGTGTTAAAACAAAGAGTTGAAGCGCCCTCAAAAAGCCCGCCCGTGGACCTCTTGCCTTTGAATGGGTGTCGATCTCATCAGATAAACCCCGACCATGCGTTTAGATACCAATCTGGCGCCAAATTTCACAGAAATCGGACTCGCCCGAAGAAAAGAAGCTCGTTTTTTCAAATACAGTCTTTTTATTGGATTTAAAAACACCGTCGAGTAAAGTTTTCATAAACTAGAATAAAGATTTAAAAATATATCTTTAACGGGATCGTGACTTGAGGTCTTCATTACTTTTAGTGCTACATTAATTAGAGTCACAAAACGTTTGGTACAGCACAATGCACTTAACACGAAGAAGATAAAATCAGACCACAAAATAGTGATGTGCTCATCTGTACTGATGTAGTAATCACAGAGGATTTCGTTTACGTGACTGCACCGGACGAAATGAGAAATTGATGAGCGGTCACTTGATAAAAAAATCAGACTAATTTGTCGTGTCCGCACTGGCACATTCGCACGGTGCTCTAAGCTTAATGTATGAGAAGTCGTGATGTTACGACTTTCACCGAACAAACATTACGAATGGCGCCGTCGTGGGCACGCCTGTGCAATACTGTTGTACGATTAATCCATTAGATTTCTAAACTACTTTATTTTTAATAAATTACTCAATAATTTTAGTCGAGTTGTAATGTTTTTGTTATCCAAAATGGTTTTACGTAACCCGACGGATATCTATTGTTATTTTTTAGACAGAGCCAATGCAAAATGGATTAAAATGTTCTAATTGTGTTGCTGAAACGTTTTAAACGCTTCCACAAAATGAAAGTGCAGCTTTGAGTCAAATTGGAGGTTTTCTAGTCCCGGGATCGACTCCCGCAATCCCGGCGGGATCGTTACATTAGTCACGTATGCGACGCGCCTTGACGGCGGCACTTGGCGCCATTGAGTCGCCGTTACCTATGAAGTACTATTAAATACCGCTTCTTTAACCATGAGTAGCTAATTACAATACATTATGAATACCTAGACTATATCAAATACATAAGCAATGGCATTTAGTTCTGGGAATGACAGAATTATCAATTGTGTCAGGTGTTGCATTTCCCGCGTATACTACGAGTTATCTTGTACTTTGGTACAACTATTATCACTAAAAGCACTGTTATTATCTTACTTTTAAGTGCAAATGTGGTTCTGAATAGAACATGCCTTAATTTAGTACCACATCGTTTCAACGAAATGTGAATGGCGATTGCAATTTTGTCAATGTCGTCGATAAGCACCTAGATGTTAACTACAATATAATTAAAAAAACCTATTTTGAAATTTAAAAAGTCCGTTATAAAGAAGTATAATAGACTTTTTTTATTTAGTCGATTTTAAGTGTCATTACTATAAAATCGATGACTCTTAACAAAATAGCTGTTCTGTTTTTCTAGAAAATGTAATTCAAGTTAAGTATAATAAGCTAGTGTAGTGTTGACATGGCGCCGCTTGCGATTCGATTACATATTCACACGGGGGGTTGCGCTTCTAAGAATATTCGTGCGATCGATCCGAACATCTGAAATGTGTCTTTCGATTTACTCAATACTCATGTCGTACTGAGTTAAATAGAATGTTTTTAAAAAAGAGACTTACCTATCTAGGAAACAAATTATTTTTTCCATTAGGTATGTATTACGTATTTTATCCTATTTCGTTTTTGTTCTATGTCTATAACAACCACTACTACTACTACTATATACTACTGCATTAGTATATTAGTAACGATTGAGACCCTAAGGGTTTCTCAAATTATGTTATGATCGAGCCACTGCATAGTAACAAAAGTAATTTATAAAAGAACAATGTAAAATGCTAAAACTCCGATACCAAACACTCAAACAAAAATGTGGTATTTACAAAGGCAACTGAAACCATTTTTTCCGACACCATCCGTAC